TCACAATATTCTCATTTTATGACCAGCACCTGTATATATAAATTTGGCAATGCATCAATTTTATAGATTAATCAATTGCTTTTTTGAGTTCTTTGAAAATCAGGATTTTTGTTTTAACAATACACAACTTTTGTTGCCATGGTTCAGAGTGATGTCGGCACGCCTAGCTAGGGCCGCCATCTTGTTTTGACGAGCGTGTTATACAGGTTTGAATTATTTGGACTCTGAACTCTAGTCAACTCACAGGAGGAATGATTGAAATAAAAGCCAATTTATGAAAATATTTTCTCTCATTTGTAATGTTAAGACATTATACAACAATTAAAATCTGAAATCAAATTAGGTATAAAAAAATCTTAATATTTTCAAATAAAACTTCTGAACTACTCTCTGTTGGTTTGTCATATAAAATCCCAAATAAAATAAGCTGAAGTATGTAACTGAAACAAGACAAAATGTAAACAACATTCTGAGGATATGAATAGTTTGGCACAAGATTCTCCATTTCTGAGATAATTTAAAGCAGAAATATACCTGCAGCCCTCTGTTCATGTCATCCGAGCTAAAATGTGAAATTAGCCGCTGAAAGTGAAGCTGCCAGTGATTCCGGTGGTGCTGCAGTGTGTACCTGCAGAAACTGTGGCTGCTGCGCGGCCAGAGGACCCTGACCCGCCTGCAGCGCTGAAACCTGGTTCTGCAGCTGAACCTGCTGCTGCTGCTCCTGCTGCTGAGAAATGCTGATGGTCTGAGTCTGGCCCTGCTGGGGAGCGAAGGCCGTCACCACCTGACCCATGAACATGGATGTGGGGACCATGACCGCCCCCATTGGGATCTGTCCTGTGACCAGCTTAGTCAGCAGCTGAGGAGCTGTGGGAAACCTGTGAGGTGAGAGTGCGTCAGCTAGCGTTAGCTACAAGAAAACAGGGTCAGAATGTCGCTCCTTGGCTGTTGCCACAGCAACTAGACACGATCATGACGACTGAACTCTGAAGAAGCACCTTATCTGAGCAGAACGGTCCTGTGCAAATGTTGCCACGGCAGGGTTGCTGGGTCCAGTGTTTTGTGCCAGGCTTGTGGAAATCTGAACCATGTTAGCTGGACTCTGCTGTGGTATCATCATAGTGTTGTAGATGGAGCCGGGGAAAGGATTCTGTTGAGGCTGCAGAGTTAGTGTTGAGCGCTGAGACAGAAAAATACAACAACAAAAAAACAATCAAATCAGTGATGAGGCAGAAATAAGTTGATGGAAAAATTCTTCAATGGTCATAGAAAGAGAACAACAGGATATCTGCAAATTTAAGACTTTTTAATGCCAACTTAAAATGTATTTAAGACCAATAAAAAATCTATAAATATGGGGGATTTCTGGAGGAACTTGCTGCATTACAATCAAGCAAAAACTGTGAACCTGGCTCAGTGCTTCTAACTCTACATGTAGCTCTCCACAGCTTTAACCCCCACAGTGCCTAGCTTAAAAGCTTCTTTGCACCTATTCTTGTATGGATAGGCAGCAGAAGTCAGCCAGTCAAAACAAACATCATCCAGCCAGCTGCTGCTAAGTTTGCACTTACATATGACAGAGGCAAAAAAAAGCTAGCTACCCCTACCTTAGCAAAGAAAAAAAAACAAAGAGCCTTGGTGGCTAGCCAGTAAAGCTATTCAGGTAAGGCTAGCTAGCTATTAAAGGTACATTAGCAGCTAGTTACAGGTAGCCTCAAACGCCTCGTGTCACAGAAAGTGCAATGATGTTTTCATGCGACTCAAACTTTTGCCTGAAAGAAAAGTTCTCCTAGAAAAAAGAAAGTCCTGTTCTGACTAAATGTAAGACCGGCAATTAATGAATTGAGTACCAACTTGCATTTTTAAGACAAATTTAAGATATTTTAAGACAATTTGTATTTTAGACATACAAATTTAACACACATTTAATTATTAAAATTTCTTAGTGTATCTGACCTGTGACAGCACTGTGCTCTGGTCCCTCAGAAGTGTCTGCTGCTGGGACTGGGTTTGGGTTTGGACCGCCTGCTGCTGTGCCAAGTTGTTCTGTAGAGCTGCTGGAGGGAACATCTGCCCTTGCATGCTCAGTGTCGCCCCCTGCTGACCAGCAGTGCCATGAGGAGTATGAGCCGCTGAGCTGAGGTTCTGTCCTTCATCCCCTTTCTGTTGGAACATCTGACACAAACATTTCAAATTCAGATAGGAAAGTGAAAGTAAAATGAAACAATAATCCCACACATCCAAACAGAAATGTAAACAATGACGTCATATTTAATACAACTTGAAAGCAGCAGCTGAGCAGCACCTGCAGACTCTGCCCCTGGACCCTCTCCAGCTCCACCTGGATCTGCCGCAGCTCATCCAGCTGCCGCTGAATGTTGTCCTCGATCATCCTGGTCTTCTTCTCCAGCTGATCCTTCAGGTGCTGCATGGCTTCCAGCTGGTTGGAGTACTGCACCGACTGTCAAAGAGAAAACCCATGTAAATATGGCATAGAGACCACGCTGCTAGCTGTCCACTGGGGACGCAGGAAGTTTGTGGTCACATATCAAATATGACTTAAAAGAAATTTGATTTCGCAACATGATGCCTTTAATTTGGGTCTCTGTCTCTTTAAAAAAACTCCTGCTCTTTCTGAAACTCCACCTTCAGGAAGTCATCACATCGCTCCTCGGTTAACCCTTTAATGTTTTTTTACCAGCGTTGCTCAGAGAAGATGCTTGCATAATGAGCTCAGCAGATGTGCAGTTCCACCCGATGTTTGCTAATTGCTGCTGGCTAGTCTGAAGGAGCTGAGTGGGGGGAAACAGGAGGGAAGAGCTGCTCTGTGAGGTCGAAGCTTAAGAGCAGTGCCTCGAAGGCGGAGCTAGGTCCACTCCGGCGTTTTGCACAGCTGAATGGTTGCCATGGGAGATTAAAGGATTTCTCAAACAGAATCAAAGCAACACTCCATGTATGTTTATGACAAGGGATTAATATTATAACATGATGTAAATCTAAAAAAGGGTAATTTTTACATAATCCTACCCCGTTCTAATTTCAACAAAGTCCCACCATTAGTATCAATACTTTTTCATGGCACTAACTCATATAATTCACACACTTTTCATTGGCAACAAATTTGATGCAAGAAGCTGACAGAGCGCTGATGGACCAGAAGGAATATTCATCAGTCTGACGAACAGCAGCAAGGTGCGCTTAAGTTCTGAGAAGTTTCTTACTTGGTTGTTTTGAAGCTGTTGCTGAGGCTGCTGCTGAGACTGCTGTGAAATCATGGAGGGCGCCCCGTTCTGGCCCGTGTTTTGGGAGCTCATCGACTGCTGGAGAAATGACACGAGGCAATTCAAAAAGATAAAAGTCTTGGCACTCAGGTCAGAGGAAGGCCAAGCTAACATTGAACCCGTACACCAGAGTGTTGGCTATCCTTCCTGCTGACCTGGCTGCTGACTGATGATCTCCGCTGCGATGTCATTTCCACGGCAGAGACGGACTGTCGGCCTGGAGTACTTCTATCTCCCTGCATCTTCATCTGCGAAGCTGAGGCAGAAATGTGATCAGGATAAAACCGAAAACGACCCCTGTGGGTATCTTCATCGATGATAAAAGAAAAGGCGTACAGGCCGGGTCAGAGACGGCAGTGTGGGAGGATTTGCGCGAGCTGCGCGACGAGGCCGACGGGGTCCGGCTGCGGTTGAAACGCTCCAGAGCTTCTTTCAGGCTGGAGGCGTTGAGCTGCGACTCGGAGCCCAAGTCCTGGGACTGGCGAGTCGAGGCGTCACCAGAGGTTAAATACTCAACTTTTATTATTTAAAGAATAATAAAGAAACACGTCGAGCAAACGTCTCACCTTGTCGGCTGTGACCTCAGGGGGAGAGTCTTTGATTCCGAGCTCTCGCCGTTGTTCTGCTCGTACTTCAGCGTAGCTGCAGAGGAGAGACGCTGGATGAAATGAAGGTATTCATAACCGCTCTACTTATTCAGTTTTTGCCACGTTACAACCAAAAATTTTATTGTTTTATTTGACAAAATAGTGAATAATTGTGGAGGGGAAAGAAAAATGATGCATATTCTCTTTTTTACACCTCAAATAAAAATATGAAAAGTTGTTATTTAGGTTCACTGTTCTGCTAGAATATTGTTTAACAAAAAGTACTAGTTCCACTGGCAGATTATTTCACTTTTAGTAAGACATTTTTCTCATGTTGTAATGAAATAATCTGCCAGTGGGTTAAGGAATTATTGACCTAAAATAAGCTCCTACATCTTGTTAGAAAGTTACCTGTAAGTTAGTTTTGTTTTATCACTAAGATATTTGAAATTAGACCAAAAATATTTTTGATTGCGTGTTTTTAAATTTAATCTGTGGGTTTTAAAAAGTGCCTTTTAACATTATTTGCTGTGAATAGGAGCAACATAAACTAATTACACGTATTTTATTAAAATATATAATTTTTTCATTGTTGATATTTTCTAATTGTTGTTGCAACTCATTAATTTAGATTCTTCAGAGAGTTACTGAAGATGGTGACGGCTGCTGGCAGGAGAGGTCTCCTGCAGCAGTCTGTCCTGCACTACATCTGAAGACGCCTCTGACTGAAGATGCTCTGCCTTCCCAAGACAGTCTTGTGAAGAGGTTTAATTAACTTTATAAGTAAAAATACTTTTAAAAACATTCCACTTCACAATTGCACAGTAAATTTCTGATTATAACTTCACAAAACAGGATAAAGGTTGAGCTGCGCTACTGTTGCAAGTTACCATATTAAGCATATTAATAAACCATTATGCACTGACACATATATACCTGACAACAGTGTGTGTGCAGACGATAAACTCAGGCCTGGAGTTCCACTGATGGTATGTGATGTAGTAATGGGTCTGCAGCCAAATCCACTGCTGCCCTTTGGTGAGGAACCTGTAGTAGCACGACTTGCCTTTCCCATATTGCATCACTGAACGGAAACAGAGAGATGAAATTTGTTCTCCGAGATGACAGGAAGTGATCAGGATACTTCAGTGATTGGATGCAGCGGAGCGCTTACAGTGTTCGTGACATTTGGCCAGCGTCTCCAGGTCGTCTACGTGGTAGTAGTCATAACCTGAAGTACCCAGGACTTCGAATGGGAGGTATCCGATGATGGGGGGGGCTCTGAGCAAACCAACGCAGCAGAAGTGTTAATGGGAATTTAACATAAGTACAGCAAAACCAAACACTCGGTCCAACAACTCAGTATTGTCAGCTAGAGGTCATTATTCACCAACAAACATTTGTGGAAGCTGAGGTGCACTAGAGAGTGTTGCATTTCATTTTGGCCTTCCAGAAGCTGTGAAATTACTCAAAACTAACTCAAGGTTTTACAAGAACACACAGCAGATCAGGGGGTTGTCACTATTTGCTGAACAAAGAAGCCCAAATGGAGAAACCGTGAGACAAAATGAAGGTGTTGTGAACCTTTTTGACGGGTAATAAATTCCCTATAATGAAATATCACAAATCCACCGTTCCTCCTAACTGTAAGGACATCCATTTTAAACGTTTATCCTTCAAATCATTTTATTCATTTATTTCACGTAGACCAAGGTGTAAAACATTAAACGAGTTTAGCAGAAAACTAAATTGAATACTGTAGCTAGATTCAAACTCAAATGCTGAGCTGTAGATCCATGAATAGTGAGGTAGAACTGGGTAAACATCACTTTGTAGCAATATGTATTTGTGACTCAACCTCTATAACTAGGATGGCTTAACATTTTTTCATGTATTTTGTAAATAATTTCTTCCTCCTTTTCAAAGTTGATACTACAAACAACTATGTGAAAATTTTATCTCAGCTTTAATCTCTCACATAGCATGAGGTATATGATCAATTCTGGCTGCAGCCTGTTTTTTTCTTTTTTTATTTTATTTTTTTTTTTACTTAAAATAAACTTTAAAACATCACTGCATGTTTACCATTTGCACAATTCTGATGTGCAACAGGTGGCTTTAGTTGGTTCAAAAAGCGTCTTTCAACCACATTGTTGGGTTCAGACAAACATAAATGCTTTCGAGCAGCAATCTGCCAGAAACCCTCCACAGAAGGGTTCACACTTACTGACCATCATTTCATCAAGTGCAGTCGATGACAAGCACCTGCCTGTATGGAGTTTTCCCCACAGGGCTCCTATATTTTGTCTCTAAACTGAATGAATAATGAGAGTCTGGGATCTGTTCTGTGTTTTTGTACATTTGAGGACAGATTTAAATAATGTTAGCAGCTTTTAAGGACAGGATCTTCTTTATTATAAAGCTCGTTTTTTGGCAAACAGACCAAGAGGAGCCAGCGTGAGGTCACGCAGCCTGAATTGTGAGCAGTTGCGGTGAGGCTTTTGTGCATCATCGGTGCTGCGTGAATCATTCCGGGAAAATACTCGTGACTGATTGCAGGTACCTACTGTTCTTTTACAGATTTAATTGCGTTCTCTGGATACACAACATGTGCATTATATATATATATATTAAAAGATGGAGGCCAGAGTTTGTAAGCTAGGGTGTAAAAGTACTCATGCATGTGATAAACAACGACAAAACAAAACCAAAAAAACTAGGTTAAAACTAGTTTGAACATAAATTGAAAAAAAAAAAAGCTTAAATATTTATACCTGTGGTCCAAGAAGAGAAATTTCCACTCTAAGCTATGCCTGGAAGTGAATTCTTCATTAGGCTCCTCAACAGTGCACATCTCCTGTTAGAGTGAAGAATAAATCAGTGCATTTAGAGCCTCTCATAAGCATAACTAGGTCAGAACATATCCAAGTTTTAAAGTGGAAATAATACAAAAAAAGAGGAACACCCAATAAAACAGATGAGGATGCTCCATTTAGTCTTAAAAAGCTTTTTGTTAAAACATTTTCACTTGAATTGGACTGTAGCTGTGGCTAAATGTCATTACAGTCAGAGGTCCACAAAGAGTAAGCAGAGCTCTTACAAAAATAATAAGACGGCAATTATGAAATGGGCTATTTTAGGAAACGAGACAGGCAATAACTGCACTTAGTCATGTTTTCAATTCAGATACGTTGAAATGTAATGATGCTCTCCTAAAACAACTGTGGAAAAACTAAAAAGTCGTCATGTCAACAATAAATCACTTATTTTTATCCTGCAAAAAAATCTTTTCACAATAACGATAAACAATACTGTAAGTGTTCATCTCTACGACCGTCCACAACAAAGGGACAGAACTTGATGTTATACTAACCATGTAACAACTGTGTAATTTCTTCACATTTACACCCATGCTGTGTTTCCATCACAACAAAATACACAGGAAGTAAAAAAATAATAATAAAAAAATAGACAAGCTGTGAAAAGAGCTTTCAAAACATTGTTAAACAACTAATATGCAACCCTTCAGAAATTTTAACAAGAGAGTAATGAGAATAAACTAAAAAGACATAAGCACAGGTGCAGTTTAGCATCGGTTTTCCTGCACGGCAGATGCTAAACTGTTCCCTACAGAAAGGCTCAATAAAATCACACACATCTCAGACTTCTTCTGGATTCCCCTGCAGTGACTAAAGCAATAATCTGAATGTGGGTCAAG